GCGGGGGGGAAGGCCGGCCGCATGCCGAGCTGGAGGCAGGGCCCCAGCTGCTGCCTTCCTGGACAGACCGGCCCCGTCTCCTCCGGGGCGGGGAGGCAAGGGGGGCAGGAGCAGTCCTGGACAGACCGGCCCCGTCTCCTCCGGGGCGGGGAGGCAAGGTGGGCTGGACCAGGAACGTGGGCTGGCTGGAGCTGGGAGTCCATGGGCGGGGGAAGGGGGCACCCTTGAAGGGCCAGGACCCAGCCCTGCTGTTACCAGCGCCCGGGAAGGACCCTCGTACCTGGGCCCAGATGATTTCCGCCAGCTCCTTGCGACTCTGCACCACAGCCCAGATGAGGAGGTCCCTGACCGGGTCCATGGTGAAGGCGACGCGGCCGGCCGAGCGCTTGTGGAAGGAGCGGAGACTCACCCCCTGCACCTGGGGAGGGCGGCAGAGGTTGGCGCAGCGAACCGGAGCCCCGGGCAGGGGGCGGGAAGGCTGCAGGCCGTGGCGCCAGGAGGGGACCAGCGACAGGGCTGCTCCATGTTTCCCCTGCCACTGCCAGACCTGTGTACTGGTCCTGGGAGCCCCTAGAGCACCCCCAGTGCCTGGAGCCAGGCATGCCCAGGTTCTCCCTGCCCCGAAGGCCCCACGTGGGTGGGGACGCGACTGCCCCAGAAGGGCGCGTCACGACGGCCTGCTGACCCGTCCGGCTGGCAGGCGATTTCGGGGGGACCCAGAGGCACCCACCTGAGCTGAGCAGGGGCTGAGCTCATCGGGGACTTTACCCCCGTGCTCTCTAGCTGGAGAGGCTGCTGGATGAAACAAACCCAAGGGCTTGTCTGGGGGGAGTTTAGGTGTGTGGAGCTACACTGATGCGGCCAGCTGCTGGGCTCCAGCTGGCCCCAGGGTAGTTGCCCGGTCGTGCCAGTGCAGCACAGGGCTCAGCCCTACTCCACTTCGACCAGTGCACCGTCTGTGGGGTGGGATGTCCCATCTGCTGGCCAGTGCGGGGGCCGCACGCTGCCCTCCCTCCCTACGTCCGCATTGACGCTGCCCGGGCCCACTCCCGACCATGCGGCCAGCTGCTGGGCTCCAGCTGGCCCCAGGGTAGTTGCCCGGTCGTGCCAGTGCAGCACAGGGCTCAGCCCTACTCCACTTCGACCAGTGCACCGTCTGTGGGGTGGGATGTCCCATCTGCTGGCCAGTGCGGGGGCCGCACGCTGCCCTCCCTCCCTACGTCCGCATTGACGCTGCCCGGGCCCACTCCCGACCTCCCCAGAGACGTGGTGCAGCTGGACCTGGGGCACCTGGGCGCAGGCCGCGTGCTCCTTCTCCTCCAGCAGCACCTTCTGCAGCTTGCCGTGGAAGAGGTAGGCGGGCGCCAGGTTCTCGTAGAGGTAGAGCAGGGTGGCCCAGGTGCCGAACTCCTTCAGGCGCACGCCCTGCTCCAGGAAGAGCTTCACGAAGTCCGGCTTGTTCCCGATCAGGGCGGCGGCCATGACGGGGTGCAGGTCTGCGGGCTGGCAAGCCGGAACGC